GGAACAGGCTCTGAATATGAATAAAGTGCTCTCTCTGTGCAGAACAAAGTTGCTGAGACATCCTGGCCCAGAAAAAGGTGAAAAAAGAAATGTTTGGTCAATAATTCTTGTCTGTTGTAAAAGCCTGGAGGATTTTTTTTTCCTTTGAGTAACGGAATGAACTAACAGGGTCAGAAATTTGTACAAGACACCTGGCATAGTCCAAATATTCATATATAGGAAGCTGGGCTGCTACAACCAAGCTTTATTTCTCATCCTTTTATACTTGAGCACCAGTAATTCTGCTAGATAACATCCAGGTGGCAAAGGAGAGTCCATGACTCAGAAACCTCACTGGGCAGGCTAATCCACAGCAAGATTCAGATGATAAAGAAGGAGCACAATTTGTACACAAGATCAACATATTAGCACAGCAGAATCGTGTCTTTAAGTGGGGCTTGAAGCAGCAGAACTGGCTGAAATTGGAATATAAGCTCTATGGGCAAAACCGGGGTGAGAGCTCTGCACAGATGCTTTCCAACCTCTCAGTACATTCAGCACCATTTTCCCCTAAAATCATCTCCCCAGACACTTTACACTACAATTTAGGCGATTAAAAAAAAGCAAACTGAGCTTTTATCTTGTGGTAATAAGTCCCACAAGTTAACAAAACATTACCAGTTACAGCAATCTGTCTATCCATGTTTAATGCTTTTCCATTTCACTGAGTGTTTTGTGGGAGGAAAGGAAAAACATAATTACCCAGAAGGCCTCTGCTAAAACTTGCCCTCTGAGAATGTGTTCTCTTGATCTTCTCACTACTACTTATCTCTCAAAACTCTTTTTACATGGAAATCAAGCTATGCCTTCCCTATTTTCAGCACTATTCTCTGGGCTTTTCTGATTAGGTAAACAGGGTTCAATATTGCTCAATGGGAGCAGAGCAGGCTGCATATCAATGGGAACAGGCGAAGAGACACAAGCATCTAAGATAAGGATCTTTTCTTAGAAAAACCTCTATGAAAAACAGAATATTTTATTTTAGCTGTTTTCTCTGCAGTGAGAGCCAGCTGAAAAAAATATCCCAGGTTCCCTAGGTAGTGTTTTACATTAAAGAAGAGAATAGATACTGAATGCAAATAAACCAAGAAAAATTCTGAGCAACGCACAAGGAGGCACTGTGACTGAATCTCAAGGGGTTTAGAAACACCATCCACTTACACTGCAGATTTCAGACTTGAAACAGCCACTTTCCTCAGTAACCAGCACCTTTGTGGAAAGGTCAGCCACATCGGAAAGGAGAGCATTTCTCATTTATTTCACTACTGAATGTGGAGAAGCTCCAAAAAGTCTAAGAAATTTCAGCCTGAAGTCATTCAGATGGGATTTCCTTCCACAAATAGCCACATAAAAGCAGTTTTCTATCTTTGAATCCTTAACTGCTCTAAAACAATTTCCAATACTTCAGTCCCTTTTCCTCCCTAAACAGATAGATCTGAAGAACTGCTTTGCATTTCCAGCAGTAAGAGACACAGCAGTAGGACTGAGAACAAGTGCCCATGACTGACAGGCAGACAAAACTGAGGCATTTCTCTGTCCTACAGAAGGACAAAATCAGAAACACTCTGTTAGCACAAGAGACAGGTCCCCATCCTCCTGGCAAGGAAGATCTTGCCTGGTTTTGCAGCACCAGCAAAATCCTGAATAGCCTCAGTAATGAACTGCGTACTCCTGAGTGTTCACAGATTCATTAGCCTATTTTATGCAGCCACCAGCACTGAGCGCAGATCAAAACCACACATTTATTCACTTAAAAATATAGAATCTGCATGCAGCCTCAGGCTCCACAGAGTGCAGAAGCGTAGCCTAACCAGCCAATGTTCATCCATCCATGTTAAGCCTCAGTAGCTGTGTGGTCCCATTGGAGAACTGGAGCATCACAACAAGGCAGGCTAATTAAGAGCATCTAGGGACAGAGGGGACGTTTTGGCAGAAGGTATCCTCAAGGGTAAAAGATGTTAACCAGCAGCTGGGTGACATGAATGGTCATGTCAGTGCTGAAAAGGCGTGTAAACCAAAATGATACATTTCATGACAAAAGGCTATGCTTTGCTTTCAGCTTTAGTATCTGGTGAGGAACTGAGAGCACTGCAAGGAGGGTCAGCTTTGGACTGGAGGCCCTGCTACATTTCCTGCATGGCTTTCTGAGGGCTCCTTCTGTTTTGCTGTCAATCATAGCACCTTGGAGCTGCAGTTCCCAGAGAGTCTCAAGGTTACATACCAGGACTCAAAATAGCACCATTTGTACATCAGACCCCAGAGGTGACTTCAGCACCTGTAGACCAGCTGATCCAACAAGGTCCATGCTTTGCCTATTGGAGGAACCAGGGCTGTGGAGCTCTGAGCATTGACCGCATGGCCATAGAGAATGCCCTTCTTCAACTGGCCCTTCACAGCGGCACTTTCTTTTTGTAAGCATTCACTTTTTTAATCTCTTTACATGAACAGAAGACTATAACTACACTTTTAACCACTCATCAAAACCAAATCACATTGATTCAAAGGAAGCTTTGAACTTGCATGATCCAGGGACTGGATTAGCTTGGCACAGCGCTGCTTGCTGTGGTGTACTGCTGATCAAAGGTGGGTTACCTGCAGGGCACTGCAAGCCTGACTGCAACCACATGGCCTCGATTTCTGCTGTAGTTACTTGTGTGCCTTCCACCTCTTCTAGTTATAATATTTAGTACAAGATAAAATTACCGCAGCATATTCACAGGGCTCCACAGATGTGGTCTGTATGTGAAAAATGCTTCATACTTTGGAGTACCTGAAGCACTAAGAAAACACTAGCCCATTAGCCCTCAACAATACTCCAGTTGGATCTTTACATTGCAGAAAGGGTGCCCTTAAGTGAGAATCAAGTCAGAACACACCACAGAGACCCATGATGCTGCATTGCCACTATGTGCAGACAGAGCCAGCGTTGAGAAAAAGGCACACATGCACCCCTAGAGTTTGTTAACAAGTCTTTACTGGTAGCAAAGGATGAGCAAGATGGGGCAGGCAGAGCCCAAGTCCTCTGGGATGGATCATCTTTCTTCCCGTGTTTATGCAACACCTACTGCAAAGTCAAACTGGTTTCATCTTCAAAGGACAGTCAGCTTTACAGATGAGAAAACTAAGGCCAAAACAAGGCAAGAGATGAGTACATGGTGAAAGTCAGTTCAGAGCAGGAGAAAAGAACCCAGGCAGTGGTGGTGTTATGAAATCCTGTGCCACCTTGTCAGCTCCTTAGCCTCCTTCCAACATGATCATCACATGCAGAGTTGTCACTGGTGTGGTCTCACAGCTCACGCAGTTCTAATGCGTGTACCTGAAGGTGCCTTGTCCCTAGCAATAACCTAACTTCTGCCCTTTCTGTGGCATCACTGGCAGAATTTAAAACAAAAGCAGCAAAGATTCTATCTGCCTCACAAAATGGCAACAGGCTCAGTCGAGTTGACACACTATCTCTTCTCTAGCATAAAATGATTTTCCAAGGGATTTCTGCCCATAATACTCTGCCAGGTCATCTCTCAACATGAGGCAGGGAAGGTGTTTCCCTGGGAACAGTAACCATGGCAAAGCGCTTCCCAGTGTCTTCCCCTCTCTACCTACAGCAAGAAAAAGAACAGCAGAAGCCTGAGCTCTGCCTCCAGCAGGCCCAGGGGCCCCCAGAGCTGTGAGCAACCTGCAAGCACCCAATCAAAGATTCAGGAAGGAAATTCAATGAATGCTGCTCTGTCTTTTACCCAGATACGAGACATTTCTGCCATGCTACGCTGAACTCGGAATGCCTCATTACAAAGAGTGCAACTGGAAACATCGGTGTTACCGAAAGGTCAGCCAAATACAACAACGCGTAGGTAGACGCTGAGCCCAAAAATCAGCACAGATAGATGGCCAGCAGAAGCAGAGGTACAATGGACTGGCTTTGCAGTTTGCAAGCCCTGGCATTGTGCGTTAGAGCCCTATTAAAGAAAGCATCTGCAAACCCCAGTTTGTAAGCAGTAGCTGCCAGCAGATGACCTGCTTCTGGTCCACCTCTCTTTCTGCAGAACATTCTCGATTTACCAGATTGAATGCAACTCTTTGTTGAAGAGCTAATTAAATCATAATAAACAATTCAACTGAAAGTACAATCATATTGCATGCTTTTGGGGATCTTTTTGTCATGTAGTAGTGAACACGTTATAAATTTCTGGATTTGAGGTTTGCTATTTATTCACGTTAACAGGGCAAATGAAACCAAAAGGCTCCTTGGTCAATCTTTCTTTCAAATGACACATAGAGAAAAAGTGTTCTATGATTCAGCAATCTTGACAGGTGAGTAAACAGTCAACAGCCTAGATTTCAACTACCATCACTCCACTTCAGAGTTAACATGCAATGAGCACAAATTGCCAGGACTCCAGCATCTTATACTAGCAACCCACTCTGAGTGGAATACTGCCCTATACCCTGACTGACTCTCACAGAGCACAAAAAGCTCGATAATCCACGTTTCTTTTATCAGCACAGTGCAAACAGAATCTTTACAGTCAGAAAGATACTGGCCTTCTGCATAAGAATTTAGAAGCATAGGGCGACAGGGTCAACAGGGTCATGAAGCCCACTGCCCCATCTCCTTACATTCATTTCAGAAAGGTATTTTACATGCACAGCAAATACTTGTTCCAGACATATACAGAAACTTCAGTGTCTACCACCCAAGTGGAATAAAAATTTATTCAGAATGAGTCTAGCATTCATTTTAACCTCCTCTCGGTCGAATCACTGCAAATATCCCAGAAATAGACAGCCGAGTCAAATGATGCACTCATACCTGAGTTAATATCCAAATCCAGCCAGTTGTCTTTATTTACCACCAACTCCTCAGAGAAAGCATTAGAAAAATAATCTTATTTTACAAATCTCCTAGGAATGCAATGCAGCTACCAAAGAGAAGATGCTATTTCTTTTGAAGATGCTGCACGTACCTTTCTTTGCCATGCGCTCCAGTCTAATGCATCCTCCCATAAAATCATGATAAGATTTCATTTCTCCTTCTGTTATCCGGACAGCAGTGAAAGGTGGATTCCTGGGCACCTGTTGTCCACATTTTCGACACCGAGAAGCCATTGTCACAGCTCAGGAGACTCTTGTCAGGAATCTGCTCTCTCAGTTTGCTGGAATCCAGCCTGATTCTTCAGCCGTCAGTCCAGGCTGGTGACTTTATCCCACTTAGTTCATTCAAGGTCACCCTCGCCAGCAGGATGTTCGCCATTGCAATTGGCTAAGACTTTTATAGGCTTACTGACTGTGTTTGTTTCTCCCTCCTTGCTTTCAATATCAGTTTACTTGATTCTCTCATTCAGAATGAAAGCTGTGAACCTCTGCACAGCCCATGCCCTGAATGGCTTCCTTATCATTAATTTAAAGCTGTTTTATAAGCGACAATGAAGAGAGAAGATCCCCGAAGCATGTTGCAAGATCACAGACTGTCTGTTAAAGAGCATGCCAGACAGGTTCACAAAGAGTTTTTCTTTAAGAAAAGGCTTTTCTTCATCATTTTTGGTCCCTTTCAGGCTTATGATTTGATGATTCTCCATCAGTGAGAATGGATGTTTTTACTTCTGCATTTCAGCCTGGACAGTGCAAGGAGACTGCTCTGCAGAGCTGCTCAACCAATTACTCATATGTCTGGCAGTGGTACTGGGAGGCTGCAACCATACAGAAAAGCCCTCTGCTGCTGTGCACGGTCCCTGCTCAAAAGATCTGATAATCTAAATGAACAGAGTAGCAAATGGAGGACAGAAGAGAAATATTGCTGACAGACATCCGCTGCTAGCTGTGCAACCCACCACACAAGTTTTTGGTTTCTTTAAAATAAGTTGAATCCATCAGTTTGACAACAAAATTAGAGATTTGGAACATACATTTAGAAATCTCTCTTTGAAGGTGCTTGATATTTGACTTTTTTCCTTTTAACAGTTACTATAATACAAATCACTGGTCAGAGAGCCTTGTGAAGAAACTAGCAGTTGGGAAACTGAGTGCAGAGAGCACTAAATCCTGATGCAGTGAAATAAAAAGGAGACTTCCCTGGGGTCAGTAGGGGACTGCACAGGAGATGCACAAACAGACACAGGGCCAGCACTGGTGATGGTGTGAAGAACACAACAAAAATGTAATGAATCGGGGCCGACCTGCAATCCAGAGCTCAACTGCAGGGCACAGAACAAGTTTCCTGCAAGGATCTTATACAGAGATCAGGAGAGTCTTTGCCTTCCTCTGCCTCAGTCGCTACCACCCATTGGCACTTTACACAGCTGCATCCAGTGCTGTTCAGCTCATGGCCCTGTCAGATCACAGCTGAGCCCTAGACATGGAGTGGGAAAGGAGAAGCCTAATTAATACAAATCAGGGGATGAACTAGAGGGGACAAAGATGCCCAGGGGACTAGAGGAGACAAAGATGCGCAGGAAAAAAAAGCCTTACATGATGCCATTGTTAAAATGGTGAATAACTAAATGGACAGGCATGAACGCCTGTAAGCTGAAGCATACAGAAGTCAACACAGCCCTACTTCTTTCCCATTTCACAAACTTCTGTGCTTCTCCCCTGGCAGCTCCACTGCTCCCCAACCCCACAGTGAACTGTTCCAGCTCCCTACCCCAGCACACCCAAACTGACCATGCAGTACAACAGCTACGAGACCTGGGAAGTAGTGAGTCTCAGAACCTCTCCTTCTGATGAAATGAAGCTATAAATGGGATCACCACTCTTAAGGTAAAATATCTGTGCTCCTTTCCTCCTCCCAGATTTGCTGCATGGCATGAAGCTGGTCACCCTCCTGCTCTTTGCCAAAACCCTGCCTGCAAAGTGAGGACAATGACGTGTTGAGCTGTTTGGTGACCTGATTCATTTGCATTTGTAAAATATTTATTAGAGTTTCCATAGAGAAATCCCTCAGGGACCACAATATTTTACAGATAGGGAGAGCAGTGGCACAGAAAGCAGAATTAATTTGTAGAAAACTGCTACCATGAGATAAGAAAACTAGAAACATAACCCAGCAATTTTATCTTAAAGCCTTTCTTCCATCCCCTTTTCTTTCATTACAGGGGCTCAAAGTGTTCTTCAATACACAGGAAAGCATGATGTACCTTGGAAAAGCAGCTTTTCTGACAGTATGTTCATGTGTATGTCTGACATACGCAGAATAATTCCACTTCAAACTTGCACATATATAGCGATGGGGCAGAATCCAGCATTTGTGACAATTCTGTCTGCTATCCTCTCTTGCATACGCTGCTACCACCAGTATCCATGTGGCTTAGCAACAGAAGGATCTGTGAGACGCTGTTCCAGGGGGGAGACGATGCTGGAAGTGGGATGCAAGAAGAAATCTGCCCTCATCTAGTGAGCTTCTAAAGCACAGGTAGCCACAGCACACACCAGAAAGACTATCTAAAATCATCTCGGTCTCAGTATTTCCCTTAGGCAGCACTGATCCATTACATTGCTAAATACACATCTCTGATGCCTGGGGTACCACTGCCATCACCCAGCCTCAGAGAAACATTAAGCTGACTGTTGCTGCTACATATTTAGCAACTGGATGTATCTGCACAGGATCTGCTGCAATGGCTGGCTTGCAGGGATGCTTTTATATAACATGTTAGCAAACATGCACTCAGCATGGATAACTGATTCCTCGCATTTTTCCTCCGTTACCTAAAAGGTATCAGTCTGACTGAAAGGAAGTTGCTGTTCTTTGCTTGTAGAAGAGCACAGTGGAGGGAGCCAGTACACAAAATGGCAAGAACGCTCCCTTGGGTCTTCTCCGGAGATTACACAGATTGGAGGGGAGTTACTTTCCTGCTGCTCCAGACAACCATAGCAAAACATTTGGAAAAGCTAAGGAAGAGGACATTTTCTGCACACAAATTGCCAGCATTGCCTAGCAACATCATCTGGGTTGACAGTGAAGAAGTAAGTAAATAAATGTAAGAAATTGTCATCAGAAATGGAAAAAAAACCCCAAACCTGAACCCCCCAGATATCCTCAGATGCCATTAATCAACACAGCCTGAGGAACTGCACTATTGCCTAGCTTCATTAGAAATACCAGTTCACCTTGGAATTAATTGGAACTTGCTGGAAAGTGCTCACTGTCATGACTGTACGGCTGGAGGATTGCCACAGATTTAAAGTCAACTTAGTTAAAACAGTTTAAGCCCCAGATCTCTTCTCATGAATTAATATGCTTCTGCCTCAAAAACAGCGCTCCAATGGTTGGTATCACTGCTAAGTATGAAACATGCAACAAACACATTGGATCTCAATGATGCTGGGCCCAATGGACGTAATTTATTTTGAAGAGTCAAGAACTGAGTTTGGGAACAGCATTTATCTGGCAAAGGAAGGAGGGAGAGAAGGCTGCTTCTGCTGCAGGTGTAAATGAGGCAGCTAGAAAGTACTGTAAAACACTCCCTGTTTGCAACTTACTCCACACAGTCATTAAAACAATTATACAGACAGTCCTTTTCCAACAGCTCCTGGTAAAAACCGTCCAGAAATTTCAGTAGACAAGACTCAAACATTGCTTCTCCTATCCACCAATGATTAAAAACAAAACAAAACAAACCCCAATGAGACCAGCAAGAGATATCTTATTTATTCACGAAGACCAGCAGCTCTCACCATTTATGTATAGTATTCTACAAGGCTAAGAAATAAGTAATCTAAATTCAATGTCACTATTAAGATTGATACACATGGGAGCTAAGAAAAAAAATTAAATCCATATTTCATTCCTGAAACCCCAGCTTCACATTTGCCTATTTTTTATGTGATGTTTTATCTGAAATTTGAACTGTTCTTCGACAGCTATGCTGAAAGACACCATTCCTTTTGCATATACGTCCGTGACCTTCTTTCTGCCTCCCCCACTGTCCAGATCATGAATCTGATAAGCCACAAGGTGTTTCAGCAGCTTGACGTGAAGGTTTATTTTCAGAGCACGCTTAGTGCTGTTACAGGTAACATCCATTCCACTGTTCGGCTAGGAAACTGAAACCGGTATCTTCTGTCAACTTCCATTTATTTTCTTCCAACTAATAAAAAGCAGAGCAGGATTCCCTCCCCTTCCTTTTTTAATAAATGGCTGCATCCCAGGCATTGTTTTAAGCCCCAGGAAGCTAAAGGAATGACCTGAGGAAAAGATATCTCTGCTCTGGAAATTACTTCTAGCATACAGCACTGGTGCAATGACACTGTGCAGTTACTACACTAGAAGGCACTAATTCCAGTGCCATATGGCTTCAGAATCTCATTACTCTGATCTGCTTACAGTGATTTCCTAACTGACGAGCAAAACATTTCTGGTCACCTTCAGCAATGGGAAACAAGAACTCTGCCTCTGTCGGCGTGCATTTGAGCTGCCAAAAGCAGGAGTGACTCTTGTGAAGATCAGAAGACAAGCTCGCCTAAGAGCTTTTGTTGCCATCTCAAAGCAGTGTAGACGTCCAGGGCTCATCAAGAACTGCTACCATCATTATAAAAGAGAAAAAAAAAAAGCGAGTGCCATCACTGCTGGGTTAGAGAAGCTGCCCAGGAGATCAGGAGATGAGGGGAATCTTCATAGGCCAAGCAGTGGGCAGGAGTTGCTGCTGCACCGGCAGGGTTTTTATCTAGCTCTCTTGACCTCTGCAGCTAAGTGCACATCAGCAAGAACAGGAGACATTTCTGTCCTGCAAGGCATCTGCCTGGCGAGACCAACAAACAGGTTCCCAATCTGCAACTGGCATAGAGTTAAAAAGCAGTTGGATCCAGGGTTTAGGCTTGGATGCAAAGTTATTCCAGTCTTGATCATGAAAATTCCTAAGGATGTGAAGCTTAGTGAAGCTAAGAGCCGTTCTGTGTAACACATACCCAAAACATAGCTCTCAGCTTAAAGAGTCAGGGACTCAAAGACAAGTAAATGCAGCACTGCTGGAGATGGATGCACAGGCACAGTCTTTGTGCCATTGCCCTCCAGCAGCAGCACGAGTGCTGATGAATAAACTCTCTGGACATCAAGAAGGGAACGTGTTCTTCTCCTCCCTGTACTCTGCCACTGACACACCGAGTCACCT